TTTTTTTTTTGCCCTTGTAAACCGTTCTTTTTTGACGTGTATCGTACTTGTCCCAAGTATATCATACTTGTACATGTTGCGTTTTTTTGTGCCTCCGATATTATAATACAAATTTGTGTACTTGTAAGTGTTTTTTTTTTTTCTTTCAAGACCATTTAAAAGTTTCATTTAGTCGTTTTCTCTTTTAAATTGAAAATTTAAAAAATTTAAATTTGAATAACGTTGGACTTCCATCATTCAAACAATACGAAATACATTTAAAACCTGAATAGTCGGTTAATTCCTAACTTCGTTATTGCCACTCCCTGTTAAAGAGTTCTTCTTTTTTTTTTTTATTGCTTCAGCAACTACAAGCATCGAGCAAGTTACAAGCGTAAAACGAGCGTTTGGAACGCTCGCAAGGAGTCTGCAAACTTTTCACGACTTCGTGGAAGTTCGGTGTTGGGTGCAGCATGGCTTAATCCGTTTTCGCGATGTCTAAAGCAGACTCGATCGTAGATGCATCGGTGAGCATCGAGAAGGCTATCAAAATAACGAACCTATCTGATTTCAAAGTGGCTTACTTGCGCCTGGCTGCGTCTAAAACGAACCAGGATCCGTCCTGTGCACGTGCAACCGGGCTTTTCACCTGAAACCCAAACGGCCCTTCTCCACATCTGTTCAATTGATGTCCCTCGGTTCGTCATTAGTTGGCGGTGAACCACCAAAAATTCGAAGAACCTCGAAGAATACTAGGCGTCGAACGTGCGTACCATCTCGATCTTCGAGAAACTCTCCTCCGTTACTCCGCAGTTCCCTGAAGACTTCCGCTTGGTTGTGCTCGAATACCGAAACGTCGGGATCGATGATCAATTCACAAAGTGGATCCGTGATGGATGTAAAAATAGAGGATGGTCGGTTACTCTACCGGCCGGATACCTACCACTCCGTACCGAAACATCAAAGTGTTCGTGTCGTAGTTCCGATTTTTCTTCGGTTAACTTTCCTCTTTGTTCGTACGATTCGCGGGGGAAAGTTGTGAATCGTTTCTGTCGCCGGTACTGTCATTTCTTTCGAGAAGATTTTCGGGAAAGTTATCGATAATTCATTTTAAGTGGTACATTACAATTGGAAACTCCATAGGAAAGTTCCGACAGAAGACAAACTTCCAGGGGCGGTCGAAGTCTTCAACAAAGTGAAATACATAATGCATGCCTAGCTGGAACATAATTAAGCAAGGCGGGGGAAAGACGAAGTTTTAACCGATTTACTTCGTTCCACGGCGCGAGCTAGACAATTCAACCTGAGTTCTTGCAGAACTTCGTCTTAGAATATGCTACGATCGTTTTAATAACCATCTTTCGTTGCGATATCATTTAATGTAACTTATCCGTGAGATAATACATCATGATCGTGTCGTTTTTTTTTTTTTTGTTTTTTACCTTCCTTACGGTGATCTACGCCTGCATCCGTTTGCAGAGGGATTGCTCGCGTAGTCGAGCGGAAAGTACGGTCGCACAAACAATCGCACTTCCGGCTCCACGATGTTCTTGCACAGCTTTGATCGTCAGCCTGTAAATTTTCGTACCTCCATGTTAGCTGATCGTGGATTCGGTAACTCATGAGAGGTTTGGATATCGGGAAACGGATGGTGGGTGTAACGATCGGTTACTGCTGCTAAACGTTTCGCTGTTCACCAGAATTGCCGAATGTAAACTGTCTATTACCGACGTTGGACCTGATCGTGCACGCTTCTGTTGAGTGCGCATTTATCAGTATTGTGGAGAGCACCGGAGAAACCAGAGAACCGGAACGATATAGATTTTCTCCTTCCTCGTTTGGATTTATGTTTGTCCAAGCAGATATACCCGATGTCGTTGTTAATATCGGTTACGATGAATAGAAAGAAAGTCATTTCTGCCAGTTACAGCTCGGTGAACTTTTATCGATCTTAGGCCTTTCTGCTTATTTAAAAAAAGATACTCCTCTCTGTGTTATAGATTTTAACGTGAACTTTGTGCGTTAAATGGAGTTTGAATAACAAGAGGATTATTTAAAATATGTTACGGACACGATAGTATATCACGATAGCTCTTCTGTGGTCTATTAAAGCTGGCCATTCACAGGCCTCGTACTTGTGATCAAAGCTGCACCCATTTCTATTCATAGTTTATCAATCATTTTGTCGCGTATTGTTTCGTGAATAATTTCAATTGTTCAATTAAACGAACATCAAGTTTCGAAATATGAATATATATTTCTTGTTATTTTTATGCTACAATTTTATTCCATTCACCTGTCCCAAACTTGAAAGTATCTAATCCCCTCCCCCTCCCGTTTGATTTTCAGAATCTTCGAATGTCACGTGTAATTAACACGTTTATTCAACGGTGATGACCGCTGGGAAAATCCAACCAAAAAGGAAAGTGTAATTCAATGTCGGACCCGTGCACGTATACACGAGTGGGTAGAAGTAACCGCACGATAACGCGGCATTCCAGCATGAGAGGGTAGTAATTAAGACCTCAACTGGTCCCAAGGGACTTTGTACGCCGTCTCCCTATATCTTATCGCATGGCTCGCCCGACTGCATGTCCATGCTTTATATCTATGGGTTTATTCACCCAAGAGGGCAGTTCCGTATCGTCGGACGAGAAATTGTACACGTTCGATCTCTTCTGTTTTCTAATTATCGACCAAGTTCTTTGGGTCGGAATGATCCATCGGAGGCATCGTTTCATCATCAGCTATCAGGTGTTCAGAAAAGAAATGCTATGGACACATTTTTATCAGAAACGAATTAAACATGCAATTTGTGTATTTATGCATTTAATGCATTTTAACGTTGCAGAGATCGGTGACGCTGTTACATGAGATTTTCAATCCTTGAAAATTACTGCCGTAGATAATCGACTGTCATAACGTTAACGTTGAAGTATGCAGAACTATTCTATTAGAATTCAAAGATTTCGTCGTTAGTTACTTTTCCTTCAAGTCCCTTGTTTAAAGAAACGTCGACGATGTACAAGTTACCATCGCTGCAAGATTATAGTTACGCCCTAGTCCAAGAATAAAAGGTGGCGAACAAGATTATACCTTCATGCGTTTAATTTCGTAGAGTGGAACGACCGTGGACAACATGATAAATACCGCTCTGAATACTCAGCATAGATGTTGGAAATTAGTCGCAAAACAGTTCTCTGCCGTTCGATCGACCAGTGAAACCATTAAGTGTCAGGAAATCGAACCGGTTTAGAGTTCTGCGTCGCGTTGTATAAATACAGGAGAGCTGGTCGTATGGCAATTACATCGGCACGACTTAACGCGAAATGCTCATTTTTTTTTTTTTTTTATTGTTAGTTACATGGGAAAATAGTTTAACATCGCTGAACCGGTTTGACGCCGGTCGTTTTGAAAAGACGTTTGAAAATACAGCTTGCACTTCTTGTATCAAAAAGAACATGAGGATGAAATGGCAGTCATTAATGAATACTATACATCGTCAGAATTTAAGGAGATTATTAAGAAACAAATAAACTGGCGCGAGTGTATTTTTATAGCAATGACGACTCGAAGTACATATTTAAAATGCGAAACATATATTTGCACTATGAGACAAAAATTTGCAATATTTTCTAGATTCTTATTTTCATGATACAGCGATATTTCATTTTTGGTTAATAGCTTAGCCCTGTGATTTAGTTAATAATTAATAATCAAATATAAGAGAAATGAACGTTTACGCTGCAGGGTTAAAGAGAAGAACGAGAAACCACCACCCCTGTTACGTTGATTAATTGCTGAATATTAAAGTGACAAATGATCGATGGAAATCTCAAAAAATAGAGAATAGTCGCAATGGAAAGTTAAGCAACGTGTTTCGGAAAGTGATGCGAGTCAACCAATAACTGTAGTCACAGATATCATCGTGACCCGTCACTCCGAACTGACGTGATTAATAGAAGCCGCCGAAATTGGTTCTTAATGACTCGATAAAGAAACAGGGCCCAACCGCTATTAGATGCGTTTTAGTTACGCGTTTCTAATTCCTACACGGGCTAATGAGCTTTTCATCA